AAATTTTAAATTATTAAATAAAATTTTAAAATATAATTTATATTATCCTAAATCATAAATACTGATAAAAGGACAAGCATAAAGATTGAGATTTTTCATAAAGTTGATAATGACTAGGATCGGTAATTAATTACCAGAGAGAACTGGCTGAACGTTGTCAATAACAATGCAAAGGGCCAACAATGGTGTCAAGTCTTGAACAAGTTCTTGCACAGACAGATCACTTGAGAATAAAGATGGGTAAGTCTTTCGGAAAATAAGAAGAATGGCTGCAAGAATGAGACCAATGATGAAGGATGATATAACAGCAACCACCAGTGCAAATTTTGCAGTTCTCGGATGAGCAGCACCCAGTTCATTCGACACTCTTACACTGCATACAGATAAACATCATTTAACAACCATATATCAGCTTGATTTTGCTTATATGTATTTATTAAATTAATATAGGAGCAGATATAACAAACCTTATGGCTGCATTCATTCCCAAAGCTACCATGACCGTCCATCCCAGTATGTTCATGCTGCAGATTTTCAATACATCACGGAACAATTTTCATCACAGTACCCCAATTTGTCTCTAGCATTATAATTAATTGTCATATGACAAGAAAACGTTACATTGCTTATCAGATTTTCCCATAACATCTTGAATGTTCAGTAGAGAAAGAATGGTAGCTCGAAAAAATATATTTTTTTATGTTTTATTTTTTCCTTGGTGCTGAGAAGCCGAGGAATTGCAGACCTGTGGTTGAGAGTGTTAATCGTACAGCAATTTGTTCTCTAGGTAGGACGAAAAAGAGAGACGTCTGAAGAGAAAAATCATAACTTGCCAAATGCATGCAGACAAATAACGTGTCCGACACAACTTAAAAGCAGCATTGAAGTAATAGCCGTATTGGTATTTATATTTGTTTTTTAAAAAAATATTATTTTTTTATCTTAAATTAATTTTATTATGTTTTTAAATTGTTTTGAAGTACTGATATTAATAATAATTTTAAAAAAATTAAAAATATTATTTTAATATATTATCTATCAAAATATATTTTTTAAAATAATTATTATTATGCTTTCAATCACTTTATATATATATATATATATAAAAAAAAAAGTTTGTCTTGTAGACACGTTAAGTTGTAATTAACTTTTAACACTATATCTATATGGGTACCTAAGGAGAGACACTGACAGTGTCCGTTTACACGTGGGGTCCCCTAAGGAGTGTCAAAGTCAGGGGCTTTTGGCAGGTGCTTGGATTGACTGGTAGCTCAAACTTGCGCTCTATTCTTTGACTGTTAGCTTCTACCTGCAATTCCTTATTTTCCTTCGGCTCCCTTTTTTTTTTGTTTTTTCGAGGAAGCCTGTGGCTTGTTATTGACCGTTCATCACTGGGAGACAACGTGGAGTCCAGAGAGCTGAGTGTTATGACATAAGCATGGATTAATTTAAAAAATGGAAAGCAACAGGACTGGCCCAGTGACAAACATCTCGGCCGCTATCTGTCGTTTCGGCGATGACTAAAATGAGCAGCTTTTCTCACAAGGTGATAAGACACGGCGGGGTATTTAGTCGGATAAAAACGAAAAAAAATGACAGTGAATCTGATTTGGTTCCGAGGAAGCCACATGGTTCTGAAATTTTACTCACGATGGGACAAATTTATGGTTGATGTGCGCCGGGAATGGCGCTGGCTAGATGGGAAGACCTCAGACATCCGACATCGAATTTGAGACACCACCTAGTAACTAGTTAATGTTGTCTGTATTGAGCGATTAAGGTTGTTTATTTAGTATCGAAAAGTTCTTCAATACTAAGATTATGAAAAGAAAAAATAAAGTAGTTTTACTCTAATGACTGCTCGGGAGAGAGATTGTCCTCTAAGATTTTATAAAAAACAGGTTAAATCGTAGAACTTATACGGTAATATTGACTAGAAGTTCTGCTGGCGAGTGATCTTAGCTAGGGAATCCCTTTCTATGCACTTAAAAGCAGATAAATTTCATCCTGAAAGGGGCAAAAATAACACAAAAAAGAAAGAAACAGAGAGTGATATTGTAATGTTGAGAGTCTGACCATATCGACAAGGCATCCACCGCAACTTCTGCGTTCTTTAGATATCCAGCAAAGAGTATCAATGCCATAAAATACCAGACCTCTAAGCTGCAAGAAAATTTAGAATAATGGTGAAAATGTTGATCAAATCTTTCGAGTCTTGGGATAAATTAATAAAAAAATTATATAAATTTTGGAGTTTTTCTGTGTTAGATCTTTCCAAGTACAAATAGGGGATTTGGTAAACGTTGAACAGCTTTGTACTGATTGTCATATTTGCAAGGGCCACGCTACCATGTAGCTATCCATTACATCAAATAGCAAACTCTAAGCTACACGATAAGATTAGACTAAAACCTCGCTTGGAGCTGCACTTAAACTGATTTTTTTATCGAATTTTAAAATTTATTTTTATTTTAAATTATTTTTTTAATGTTTACTAAAGTTAAATATATTATTTCAAACAAAAAACACACTTTAAAAAAGAGATTCGTCACACTCCCATAGACCAAAACGATCATACTTCTGCTTCATTTGAAAACCAAGAGAATAAAGAATTGATTTCCTATAAACTTTTTGAAGAAGAGTACATTTGCAGTCTCCCATGGTACATGTTGATGTTATTCTCGCAATAATGGTGATAAGATACATGCGCTTAATTTATGATTTGGGATCTTGAGATATATAATTAAGATCATAAAATGTAAATAAATAAGAAAATGGTAGTGGTAAAAATTAATTAATAATTACGCAAAAGGAAACTTACCAAAGCATCACCGCGGACGCAAGAGATAACCTGACAAAACTCCAGAGACTTTGAAAGGCCTTCCACGAGAAACCATTCCACGCTCGACCACAGGTTCCACTGATAATATACACAAACTGCGATATGTCTATGATCACCCATGACGCATTCAACACCACAGCTGCACCCACCAGACCCCATTTCAACTTGATCATCAGCAACCAGCTGAAAACCGTATGCAAAATCAAGACCACAACCGAAATCAAAGCCATGACCATGATCTTGCTCTGAGATTGCAAGAATTTTGCCATTGGGAAGTTGAACGCATAGGCGAACAATTGTGGTATCATCCAGATTGAGAAAATCCCTGCTGCTTTTGATATGGATGCAGTTTGGCCTATAAGCCTTAAGAGTTTTGCTGCGAAGATGTAAACCAGACTAAGTAATAAGGCTGTGGTATTGAGTATGAGCCATGACCTCTGCATATAAATTCCTAGCATATCAAGCTGTCCAGCTCCGAAAGCTTGCCCACATAATGTTTCGAGAGCACTTCCCATGCCAAGCTGATCACCATTCAATTCTATTTAATTAGTGCATGATCATATATACCCTTTATAATTAACCGAATTAAACTTGCATAAATGTGTTAAGAGATGGATTTTAAATTTTCTTCTGTACCATGAGACCGAAGGAGAAGCCAGCGATGACTGAGTTCTCGATGGAGACGGCAGCAAGTTCTAGAGTGCCAACATGGCCTGCAAAGACTTGAGTGATAGCGCCAAGGGAATACTGGCATACGGAAGTGAAGATGGCAGGGGCGGCTAGGTACCAGAGCTTGACGGACTCCCTGCAGAATTCTCTAAAAAAATCGCGGACACCATTGATTGGTTGGATGTCATCGGCATCTGCAACGAAGGAGGAGGCAAATGAATTGTTCGTGATTGATCTGGTAAGTGACAGGAGTTGGTCATCACTTTCGTTTTGGTTCCCTCTTGGAGAGAGAAGTGGCTGCCTGGAATCTGCCATGTTAGCTACTGAGAGAAAGGGAGATTTGCCTTTTGCCAACTTGAGGCGAATGCTTTGTGTAGATGCTACTCTGTGTGTGTGTGTGTGTCTCTCTCTCTCTCTCTATATATATATATATATGCAATTTATTAATTGATTAATTAAAAACAAAAAACAAAAACAAAACAACAAACAAAAAATGTCGTCCAAATTCACTGTATCAAGTGAGTAGATTTTTTTCTTATTATCTGGCACTAGAGTAAAATTGTATTTTTTTTTTATGGGATTTAAATATCATTTGAGAATCCATCAGGGGTAAAGTTATCATTCACATTTATACTGCAAAGTAAAAATACTTTTTCTCCTTCGAAATCTGATAAAAAATGGTCTTTTATTAAAAGTTTTTTATCTTTTTTTTTTTAATTTGCATGGTAAAATAACACTTGTACTGTTGGATAATTAGAAGAAAAAAAAAAGTCTTCTCATAAAGGGTTTATTTATCTTTGTATTATTTTGTATAGTAAAATTACGTTGCTAACCTTCAACTTTTCAAATTTAAAAAATAGCTTCTCAAGGCATTTTGGCTCCATGGTTTTTTTGTAATATTATATGCAATTCAACTTTTCAAATTTAAAAAATAGCTTTTATAATATTATATGCCATTAGACTCTCTTTTATAATTTATCTTATTAAAATATTAATAAATTGATAAAATATACTGACATATACCACGCATGTATCAATATGTTAATGAGCTTCACGCTATTTTGGAGGCTTGTGTGGCCAATTACTATAATAAAAAAAAAAAAAATTGTTCATCATTTCATTCGATGCGCAAGAGCAAGAATATGCAAGGCAGGCGGTGGTGAGGTTTTTTTCCTTGCCTTCATTTTTTCTCTCTCAAATCTTGATTTTCATATCAAGCCTTGAAAAATATAATTTTATTCTTTATTTTGTATTTGTTTTGGGTTATATTTTCATTTTTTTTTATTTATATTTGCTTTGATTTTAATTCATTTTGCAGTTTAATTTAATTTGTTTTTTGTTTACCATTTGATTCTTCTTACTTTTATTGTTTTTTTTTTATCCTTCGCATTTATTTTATTTTATTTTATTAATTTTTTCATTTAGAATTTTAATTTATTTTTTTAAAATTTTGGTTTTTTTTTCATTTGTTTTTCATTTCTTTTCCCATATATTTCTTCATTTATTTTGTTTTTAATTTTGTCCCTAATCAATTTCTTTCAATTATTTTTGGAGCAAGATTTAGTTCTTATTATTTTTTTTAATTTTTATAATTGATGATTTTGCTTTGTGATTATTTTTGCCTTTTACAGGGTTGTCTTATTTTTAAGACCCAATTCACCAGTTTCAATAATTTACTTGGTTTAAGTCGGTATTTTTGTTAAATCCTTTTAGAATTTATTTTTTTATTTTTTTATTTGACATTGAATTTTTAGACTATAAGCTTTGTGAATTATTCAACTTTTTTTTATAAGGTTATTCTTATTCATATGTCGGGTTGTAAGTTGGTCGGGTTAAGTTTCTTAATCTAGTTTAAGTGTAGAATTTAACAGTTTACAGGTTTAAGAGATTCACTTCAATCAACAAAGTTGATAAGGACATAGGTTTTTATGGTTTTTTTAATTTTTAAAAGCTCAACAAAGTTGATAAGGACATAGGTTTTTGTGGTTTTTTTAATTTTTTTTTATCTTTTTTGCTATTTTGTTATTTTTTAATTTGATTTCTATGAGATTTTTGTGGTCAATTTAAAAATAACAAGGGTTGCCTTGCTTTTAGGCTTTTTGGCATTGTTAAATTTAGATTTTCTAGGGAAATTTTTTTAATTGAATTGAATTAATTGATTTTATCATCAAACATCTAAAATTTTAGATGTTGAGCTCTTGAGTTGAGCCCGGGTTAAGAATTTAATAGATTATAGGTTTGATAGTTTAATCTGGATTTACAAGGTTTGCATCGTTTCAATATTTTTTGTTCGATGAAAAATATGATTAAGCCTATCTTGGTTTATTAAATTTATTAATTGCATCTCTGGCATTTAATTTTAGACAACACTTGAAGGAATTTTGTTCTTTTAATTTTCATTTTTGAAATTAGAATTATTTGTTCATTTACCCTTTTTTTTATTTAATTATTTCGATATCATGTCTCGTGTCATGGGTTTAGCAGGTTCACATGATTTGGCTCGATCATTTTTTTTATTTTTTTTTTATTTTTGGATCTCAAGTCAATGATTATTATCTTGGATTTTGTTCTTTTTAAAAAAATATGAATTGTCTTGATATCTTATCTTTTTTACAATAAAAAAATAATAAGTTTGCATCATTACTCGAGTCATCTATCAAATAATTATCATTTGCTTGGTTCTACTCGTAAGTTTTGATAATATCACTTTGTTTTGTTTGATTGGTGCTTTGTTTTTTAATTCTTTTTTTCACTTATTTTTCTTATTTCATCCTTCTATATTTTTATTCTAGGGATTGACAATTATTTCTTTTAGCTCTCTTTCCATGATGTCGAGTCATGGATTTTTTTTTCGAACTTTAAAATCTAATAATAGCATTTCGGCATTATTTTTTTACTTTGCAAGAAAAAAAAGAGCTTGGTCTGCATCAAAATGCAATTTATCTATCTAGTTATAAACTAAAGGATAATATGGAGTTTTACTCTTAACATTCTCACAAAACTATTTATTCATTGTAACAGTATTATATTTTGTTTTTTTGCTTTTGTTTTTTAATTGATGTTTTTTTCTTGTAATTTTATTTTTTAATCTTAAATTTATTTTTTATTAAGTTATTATATTTTTATGATATGGATTACAGGTTTAGCAAGTTAACCTGCTTTGATGGATTTAACCTAGTTGACTTTTTTTTTCTTAATTATTTTTTTTTTATCTTTTAATATTGGGTTAATTATGAATTACATTTCATATAGGAATTAGATTTCATGATTTATATATATATATTTGTTTACTTTCTATTATGTTATTTCGATCTTATTACTTGAGAATAATGCTTAAAAGGTTATCTAAGTAGACTTAAGTCGTTTTTTGTGTCTTATTTTAATTGGATTTCTTTTTAATTTAATTATTCAATATTATGCTATTGAGAATTAAGTTTCATAATTTTTTTTTATTTTTTTTATGAGGATGTCTTGGTTTCATGATCAAGGTCGCCAGTTTTGGCATTTCAATGATAGTTAAGTTGGGTTCTTTTTTTTCTTCTAAAAGGTCATCACATTCTCATGACCCGGATCATGGGTTCTTTAACATTAGACTTTGTTTTTATTAGGTTTTCCCCATCTAATAGTCTGAGCTATAAATTTGACAAGTTAACTTAATTGATTTAATTTTTTTTAATTGATTTCCCCCCCAAATTTATCATTCAATATAGTGTTAGATTAGGAATTAAGTTTTATAATTTGTTTTGGTTTACTTTTTATTAGGTTATCTCAGCTTTATTATCAAAAAATAATGCTTAATGAGTTAACCGATTTGACTTGGATCATTATTTATGTAATTTTTTAAAATTAAAATCTTTACAAATTTTATTATACAACATTGGGTTTAATAGGAATGATTAAAAATTAATTTTCATAATTTATTTTGATTTGCCCTTTATAGAGTTATCTTAATCTCATAACCAAAGTCATGGATTTGATAAGTTATATTAAGTTTTTTTCTTTTCTTTTATTTTCTATGAGGTTATCTTGGTCCGATGATCAAGGCTATAGGTTTAACGGATTAATTGAAGTTATTTTTTATATTTTTTAATTGATTTTTTAATAGATTTGTTTTTCATATTATTACCTTACTCTTATTACTTAAGTCGCGGGTTTAACAAATTAACTCAAATCTTTTTTTAAGTCCCTTTTCTATTGATTTTTTTCAATTTTATCTTTTAATATTGATTTGATTGAGGAGCAAGTTTCATAATTTATTTTGATTTGCTATATATAAGGTTTTTATAGTCTTATAAACCTGATCGTGTATTTAATAAGTTAAACTAAATTAACTCAAGTCAATTTTTATATGTTATTATTTTAATATTAAAAAAATATTATCTTGAATTTTTATTTCTATGAGTTGTGTGGATTGTTTTTAGAACCATTGATTTAATCAGGTTATATCATATTAATTCTTATATAATTAATTTTTTTATTAAAATATATTAAAAAAATATTATCTTGAATTTTTGTTTTTATGAGTTGTGTTGATTGTTTTTAGAACCATTGATTCAGTCAGGTTATATCATATTAATCCTTATATAATTAATTTTTTTATTAATTTTTTTTTAATAATAATTTAATATTTTTTTATATTAAAAAATTAATCCAACTCATAATGCGTAACGCAGCACGGTAAATCATCTTGTATAAACCAACAGTGGTTGTTGTGTGGATAAAATTTATTGCAGAATAAAATATTAACGTCACCACTTGGGTATTCACATGGTCAGTTGATGGCTGTCAAGGCTCATTATATGCTTAAATGAGATGTTCAAGGAAGATTTTACCTGACACATTTAAAATACCAATAATCATGTGGATACATGTAGATATGTGACACTTATTTAATCACTCAGGCCTCGTGGCATCTTCAACGCTGAACCTAAAACAAAAGCCACAAAACGAAAATATTATTCTCACATAGTTCTAGAGCCATTGATTTACTGTATAGGAAGATTAAATATTAGAACTTGAAGACAATAAAGTGATGAGTTAGAGAATGTTTTATAATTTATAATTTATAATCTGGTTATTTTTTAAAATATTTTTTTGTTTAAATAATATTTTTTATTTTTTAAATTGATTTTGAACATTATTTTATTAAAATATTAAAAAATATTACAAAAATTAATACCAAAAAACCATCCATTATTATATCATGAATGGATTTTTGGTGAATTTCTCTCCTGACTCACACTTTCTCACCTATAGCATGGTGCTTTCACTTTCGGATCCATACTTTCTTCTTGAATAAACCTTTATAGCCATGAGTAGACATTACTTCTACACCTTTTTTCTGCCACAGCGTCGGCACCTTCTACCCTTCCTTTTCTAGTAAGATCGCCTACTCT